AACCCATGAAAGCATACCATAATAAGAGTGGTGCTATACTATTTCTATTAACTATGATAATTCTTTAATGGTATCAGCTTGACAATTTGATATTAAAATTTATGAAATTTTGCATCCTCAATAAAAAGAAGATAAAAGTTAAGCCACAGGATCATTTAAAGAAATTTAATTTCTCAAAGGCTACCATACTAATAATGTAACTACTCTCAACCTTTTTAAGTCACAAAGAAACTCATTCATTTCAGGTTCTACAGATTCTACAATAATTATATGGACCCCTTTAAATAATTTATCTTCAACTTTGAAACCAATTAATTGAACTGTTTCATGTAAATTGAATGACCATTCTGATCAGACAACAAGTATAGTGGTAAATTCACTTTCACTTTCAGATGACTTTTTTATTAGTGACTCTGAAAATCATACAATAAAATTTTGGTTGTGTTCTTAACCAAATGTAGAATAATCTAATTTATCTTGGTCCAATACATAGACTATATCTGATCATTAGAGTTGTGTCTATGGATTATCAATAAATTAAGAGGGATATAGATTAATCTCATGTGGTGGTGATGATAAATAAATATTGATAATGGAAGGTTCAAAAAAAGAAATTTGGCATGTTAAATAAAGAACACATTTAGAAGGAAGCCTAATGAGATTAAGTTTCATTACTAACAACATCTTTGTAATTTAACTATAATTGTAAGAGTATCTCTATATTTACACAAAAGACTTAACTGGAGAATTTATAAAATCAAAATTTTTGCCAATTTAAACATAATCTTGTGCAATATATTTCCCTTCACTCTATATTCCTTCCAAAAATTTACTCTTTCATAAAAATGGTTATAATGTGAATTTAATAAGATTCAATTTTTCTGCTTCTTTAACAGAATGGGACTGTAAATTGGAATTGGAATAAACAATAGATTTTGGTGAAAATGCCACTTTTGGTACTTTGAGTGATAATGGAGAACTCCTTATAACTTGGGATTATAAATCCTCATCTATTCAAATTAGATAATATAAAGAGAAGTCATAATCATGAATAGTATTATAAATACATAAAATTTATAATTTTTTTAATTTATAAGCGATAAAATGGTATATAAATTCTTTTTATAAGCAGTTTGAATTATAAAAGTGAACTGTTATGAGAATAAGAGATAGGAAAGCTCATAAAGGATTTTAAATATCATCATAATAATATAAAAAATTGGAAAGAAGTCTATCTAAATATTATTATAAAAGATCATCCTTCAGATTACAAAATTAATATTAATATTTAATTAAATATTATTTTAATTCTTTTAGAGTAACAGAATCACTTTTTTTATTAAAACTGCTCTTTAAATTAAGCAATTTTTATAATTTAAGTTATGCTGAAATTATTTAAACCTTATTTAATCCAATTCGAAATTATTATTTTTAATTTCAAGTTATCTTTGTTCACCAATTTACACGCTACATTCATAACATAATTTCCTTCATGGAATCTATGTTAAATCTAATAATTTTAAAAAGTTTAATAAGTTTTATCTCTATTTCTCAAATTATCCAATTTTAAATTATTATTATTGTTAAAGGAAAGAGTGAATATTAATATTGGAATAAACCAATTAATTAATTTGTGTTTAGAATATTAATTATTGAATATATTTTATAAAAATAATTATAAATATTAATTTCTTACATTTTCTCGACAACCTAAAATAAAATACATGAACAAGAATGCCATTTATTTAGTTTTGCTTTACAGCTCCTTAATACTAAATGCAAATTTCGTTTTGCATTCTACCTATGAAGAATTTAATAATAAAATAATTTCATTAGCCAATACTAATTGGAATTGTGATAACATTAACACTAAACCAACTAAAATACTTAGTTGTAGTAAAAGGGTAATTTAGTAGCTTTAGAAAATATCAAATATATGTCATTAAATTTAAAAGACTGTTAATACAAAATTACATAGTCAACAGAAAATAATCACCTAAATTTAATTAAATTTGCTGTAATTTTACATTGATATTTAAGGGAATAGATCTTTGGATGATTGATGATGAATGTATAAATGTTTATGTAACTGGTCAATAAAGCCCTTTTAAGAAATGCCTCTATCCAAAAAGTAATCATGCTTTTGGAAAATCAGTCAACTGTGAAAATAATATTAATGAAAATTATTAGCTACGTTTAACAGAAATTATTTAAACAACATCCTAATCTGAAAATATTTAAATTAAAATATGGAGTAATGCTAATGAAGATCTTAATAATGAATCATATTCATTCAGCAATATCTAATTATTTATAAATAGATGTTATAAGACTTGCAAGACTTGTTCAGGGGAAAGAGAGAATTAATGTTTAAGTTGTTATCCTGGAATATTTTTGAGTAATACTTACACATGCAATTCTTGTAAAGAGTTACTAAACTAATAATTTCTTCATAGACCTGAAGGTTGTAAAAATAAATTTGAAGAAGATTATGGATTTGATCAAGATTTAGTATGTAATGAAGATATATGTAAGATTAATATTTATTTTTGAGATGTTTAAAAATCTTGTTAAGAAAATTGTTAATTATATACGAATACATAATAATGTTTATTATGTAATGAAAAGTATCTCCATTTAGGAAAATGTATAAATAAATGCCCATTTTTCCAAAGGTAGAAGGAGCAAATTGTTTGAATAGCATTGATATACTGAAAAAATAAAATTTAAGAATTATAGAATTAATGAAAGAATTTCATGATCTATCAACAACTAATAATTAAATATTGAAATTATTTATTACCTGGAAGTTTAAATATAAATTTTTTAAAAGGTAATTAAATTTATTTCAGCTACTTATGAAATAAAAGAATATTTGGAGGACCATTTGTTTGGGTAGATGCTAAATTTAAATTTACTTACAAATGGACATAAGAATTCAAGTATATTAGAATATTTTTTGAAGTCATTCTTGGCGATACTGTATTAAATTAAAAAAATTAATTTATAACATAAATAATGAATAACATAATACAATACAATAACTTTAGATTTGGCATATTAAGAAAATGATCAAAATATTGAAGATTAAAATTGGTCTGGAGATTATAAATTTAACATATATAAAGAGGGTATCACTTTATATTACGAATTATAAACTAATAAAAAAATTATTATAGATTTGGAATGTATTGGATCAAATTCACAGACTTTTTATGGAATTTAGAATTTGATTATAGTTGGATTTTCTGAATGCAAACCTGCATACAAATTTAATTTATTTTATTACTAAACTAATATCAATCCATGCATTCCAATTTGTGGTGATAAAATAATAGTTGAAGATGAGGAATGTGATGATGGAAATGAAGATCCATTTGATGGATGTTTTAATTGTAGATATCATTGTGAAGAGTTTTGTGAATATTGTATTAAAAGTAAATAGTAAAGAAATTTGAGATAAATATAGAAAATGTAATTTATGAATTAGCTTATTATTTCGATGTTCTTTAGTTTTCTTGTATCTTTGAATGTAGTTTTTGTACTAACAATTTATGTATGAAATTTAACTATGGATATTATTTAAATCCATATACAAACTAGTGTTTGAGTATATGTGGAGATTCAATTTTATAAGCTTCTGAATAGTTTGATGATGGTATTATTAGTAGAATTAGAATTAATTATAATATAGATAATTATGATGGTTGTTCAAATTGTTAGTTGATTTAATATGAAAAATGTGATTAAGATCCTTAAATAATCAAACATCGTTTTTCAATCTGTTATCAAGGAATATGTTTGAAATGCAATGATGGTTTTTTATAAGATGGAGATACTTGTACTTCAGTATGTGGTGATAGTTTAATTAACATGTAAGAGGAAGAATGTGATAGTGAAAATTATGGATGCAATCATTGTAAAATATTGAAAGGCTATGTTTGTGGAAAGTTGCCTTATTCAAATTGCCAAAGTTGCGATAAAGAGTGTAATCAATGTTCAAGCTTAGATAAAATCAATTTAATATGTATTGAGGGTTATTATGCAATTTAAGATAAATGTTTTAAATGTGATTCTAATTGCATTGATTGTAATTTACAATCAAATTTATGTACATCATGTTTCAGAGAAGATTGTGATTTTTGTGAATCTATTCCTGGTCTTTATGCTGATTTAAAAATTAAAAAATGCAATTCTATTTGTGGTGATGGAATTTAAGTTGAATTATATGAATAATGTGATGATCATAACGAGAAGAATGGAGATGGTTGTGATTCATAATGTAATTTAGAATTTTCAAATGATGAACTTAATTAATTTAAAAATTATCAATTTTAAGGAAATAATACTTATGATTGAAAAATTAAATCTTAATCTAAACTAAATCTTATCTGCAATACTTTTAATTTTAATATAGATAATTTAGATTTTCAGTATTACAAATATAATTCCACCTAAATTGATCAATTAACGAGTAGATTATCATTTGACTTCAAAAAATCTATCTATAAATTCAACATAATCCATGTTAAATTAAATTATATTAATTCCTATCAAATTCAAAAATTAATTAAAGAAAATGATAAATAGATTGAATACAATATATATCCTAGCTAGACTTTTATTTTAGAAGAAAATGAAACTACTTAGAAGTAAATTGTACAAATAGCCCAATAATCTTTAAATTTTATCCTTCTGATTATGATACCAATATCTATTGTTCTTAACTTGTTTGACTCTTTATAGGCAGTTCTAGAAATATTAAGTTGGATTAATAATTTTTATTTTCTTAATGCAAATTATCCTTTTAATGTGGAAACATTCTTTTTAAATAGCGATTGGTCTTCAATAATAAGCATTCCAACTTATAAAGGATTAAATTAACCAGATTGTAATTATTATTTTGAAGATCCCAAAAGATTTAAAGACAAAGGAATAGATCCATTGTTTTTCAACAACATAAAAATTCCATTTATGTTTATAAATTTTTTTCTCCTTGGCTATTTAATAAATTAAATGTTTTATCTTTTTTTTACTTTCCTTAATGATACTCCTAAAAAAAAGATTATTTAAAAGTTAAACACTTTAGTATATTTAATATTTAGACAAAATAATCAATTAAATAAAATTCAAATAAAGAAAGCCAAAAATTATAGGTTTTATCAAATCCTTACTTAAAATATATCACTAATTTTTTAAAATAAAATTATATTCGCTTTAAAAATCAGTTTAATCAACAAAATAATTATGTTTGTTGGATATTTCAGTCAAATTGAATCAAATAAAAATTATTTATAGTTTATTTAACAAGTTTATGAACTAAGCTGAAAAATTCAACAGCTTAGTGTACATTAGCAATTCAACTTTAATTATCATATTCAAATGGTTCTTCAAATTATATTGTAGCATTTAATTAATTTCTTGCTATAATAACAATTGGAATCATTATTTTTTAATTAGTAATATTAAGTATTAAATATTCATAGGCTTAAAGCCTAAAGTAAAGACTTTTAAGAATTGTATGGGATTTATCTATTCAGCTCTTTGCGCTTTTTTTATTATTTTATGAAAATCCATATCATATCTTAAAAGTAATTTATTATAGGATTGATATCCAATTTTTGCTTAAGCTCTATTATATTAATAATTATATTGTTTTCTATGAATGACGAAATACCTATAGACTTTATAGAGAAAAATAAAGTTATACTCGGTTGGTTTATAATTTATTTGGTTTTTATAGCCATATTTGTTGAATTTTGTGTTTTGATTGTTGGGATATTTATATACATCTTTTAAATTTATAAAATAATTTAGAATATGAGTATTCTTTTCTATTAAAAAGCAAAATAAACCTCAATTTTCTTTATAGATTAATATAATAAAGTGCAATTCAAAATAAATATTTTATCACAATTACTAGGATAATAATTGTGCATTATCTTTTTGTTTTTACTGTTATTCTAATTTCAAATTCTATTCAATCTAATTTAAATCATAAATAGATTTGTTATTTTTAAATTTTTACTAACAACCTTGAATCAATAATGAATATATATGTGGAATACTTATAAATATTTAAAGCAATTGTTTATTTAATTTTGTTGCGTAAATTTACCCAGGCTCATAAAATTATATTGGCTATATTTGTTTTGTTACTTTGTTAAGTTTTATGGTATTGCTTTTTATATTAGATAATTTTTGTAATTAAATTTCTAATTTTTTCTAAATAAATGAAACTTTTCAAAATTGAAACTAATAGTTTTTCAATAAAATCTTTTTTATTATTTTCTTTTCTGTTCAAATTAAAATCTCTTCTCTACCTATTTTTTGTTAAATTTAATTTAATAATGAATAATTTTATGGAAATAATAGATATTCTTTTTAACATTACTATTTAAAATGGATAGATCCTATTTAAAACTTAGTTTAATATTTTATAGTGGACTTTAAATGAAATTACAAACCAATGATGGGCAGGAGCAATCTATCAAATATACATTCATAAAATTTAGAAAAATATTTTACACCCAGAAATTCATAAAACAATATCTCAGATAATATTGTTCAAAAATTAACAAAATAGGAATATGTAGAAATCATCATAAAATTAAAAGTAATATTTATTGCTATTCGAAAACATGTAATGGTGAACTAATTCTTTTTTGATTACCTGGAATGAATTCTTCATTTAGAATTGAAACTTTCAGTTTACTTAATTAAAGCAGTATTTTAATCCTCTCTTATTCGTTTTAACTTAATTAATACATATTAATTAGAAATCAGTATGTATCAAATATTCATATTTATATATAGAATCATCTAATTTAAAAGTTACTTAAAATATGTTTATTTACATCTTTATTGTTTCCTATTAATATCAAAATCATCTATATAGGTATAAGTGTTAGTAAATAAACCTTCAGGAATATTTACAATCATTCAAACTAATATATTCTTTGCACCAGAAGAATTGAAATTCTTTTTCAATTTAACATTAATCTGATTAGTTAGTGTGTACACCTCATAACATTTTAAAAATAGCCCCCAAATATATCATAAGTATTAATTCTAATAAATCTATTTTTTAGGCCAAGATCAGTATCAGAGTATTAATTATCAGTATCCTTTTAAAAGGTTAAATTCAAAGATATAAAAAATTAAATTTCATTAATAAGTTATATGAATAATCTAATGATGTTTAATTGAGAGATAACTAAAGGTATTTATGAAAATTTTTAAATATATAATTTTTGGAGATCATGAGTTGTATGAAAGAAATTTGAATGAGGTTATGGATTAAGAAAAGTGCTATCATCTAGATTGAAATAAACGAGAGGGGGTTGGAAAAAAAAGCAAAATCTATAGGTGTGGTATAAAATTTAAAATCTTTATTCTTTGATGTAATTAAATATGATTCTAATACAAAATTTTGAAATAATTTTTGAATGTTATTTTTTAAAATTTTATGAAATAATGAAATCTGCTCATAAAAATATATTTTTTATTTTTTTTTAATTTGCTAAAATTATTACATATTTCCACGTTATATATGTTAATATCCTATCTTTGACTACAATTCATAGGTGGGTTCAATCTATAAGATAAAGTTTTCTATCATTGTTTTATTTTTTGATAATGATCTCTAAATATATTATGAGCCTTATCTAAAAGAAGATTAATGTTACTCCTATTTAAAATAAGCAAATTAATATAATTCTTCTTTTTTCATCTCTTTTTTAAAAATTAAATTTTCAGGTCTATGATTGTTTTAAATTTAATAGATAAAATCTAATAAATAATTTTATCAGCATGTTATAGAATTATAGATTAATAAAGTTGAAGGGCTATCAACTTTCTATGAGAGAGAATAGATTGTAATCAGAAATCTAAGGCTTATGTTATGGTAAAATTTATAAAGCGGTTATATTTGATTATAGAATTATTAAAATTTTTAATTTTTTCTCCAAAATAATATAAATTTCTGTAAGTTTATTTCATTCACTTTAAATAAAAAAAATAATTATGAAAAATCAAGCCCTCTATTTAATATTGTTATTTTGTGTCCTCTAACCTATTTTAAGTTAAGTTTTGGAATCAGTTTTTGAAGATTTCAATAATAAAAAGATTTCATTTAGTAATAGAAATTGGGTTTGTGAACTAGAAAATAAAGTACCAAAAAGTTTAGAATGCCCAAAAGGAATGGATCTAGTATTGCTTGAAAGAGTAATTGGCTGTTAAGTAGTTTAAGTTCGAATTGATTAACTCCTACCACATTTTGCAATATAGTTTTATATAGACATTTATGCTTATTAAACAATCGACAATAATGAATGTTTAATTGTAGACATATAAGGTGTATAAAAAAAAGAATAGTGCATTTATTGGTCAACAGTGTAATCAAATGGATTAAATTAATATTGTGATCGTTATCCTGGGAAATCAATACGGAATACTTAAATTATTGAACTTGATCATTCTGATACTTAGGTGAATATAAAAATATCAAGTACAGCCGATCAAGAACTTTTAGATGAAGCCTATTTATTTAGAAATGTCTAACTCTTTTTGCATAGATGTCATAAAACTTGTAAAAGTTGTTCAGGTGAACGAAAAGATTAGTGTTAAACTTGTTATGATACATTATCTATTACATCGACAAATTCATGTGAGCCTTGTAAGAATAGAGGAAATGGAGCTTTTCTTGATTTTCAATCTTAGAAATGTGTATAATAATGCCCTAATAATTAGGGTTATGATGAAGATTTAGTCTGTGATGAAAATATAAGTAAAAATTATATTAATTTCTAAGATACTTAGTCAACATGTTAAAATGGATGCTAATCTTGTACGAATGCATAGAGTTGTCTAAAGTGTAATTCTGATTAATATCTTCATAAAGGTTAATGCCTAAAAAACTGTCCATCATACACAAAAATAGAAGGGAGAAGCTGTTTAAATACAATTGATTAAATGGATGCAAAAAAATATAATATCTCCCAAATAGCAAAGGAACTTCATGATAATAATAGGATAAAAGAATTATTTACCCTGTCTCATAAACAAGGTTCATATAATTTTCAAAAAGGTGAGGAGATTTATTTCAGTTATTTTTCAAATAAAAGAATATTTGGAGGACCATTTGTTTGGGTTAATGCTTAATTCAAGTTTGAAATAAGCTGGATTTAAAATATATATAGAATAAATATTTTCTTCGAAGTAATTCTAGGGGATACCCATAAAAATAGAAATAATTTTACTTATATTATTAACAATTAACCAGTAGAAATATCATTACATGATAAATTTTAATAATCTGATGAAAAAATAGAAGATCTAAACTGGCCTGACAATTATATTTACAATATATATGGAATTGAATACAATTTCTTCCAATAAGTAATTTCCGATAAATAATTGATCATAGAGTTTAATTGTAAAAATATAGAAATTTTAGCTTTCTGTGGAATTTAGAATCTTATGGTGGCTGGATAATATTGCCAATCTGGATATAAATTTGAATACTTTTATTTTGAAACAGATAGAAATCCTTGCATTGTCGACAATGAGGAATGTGATGATGATAATGTAATTCCATTTGATGGTTGTTTTTCAAATATATACGATTGTATATAAGGTTGTTAAAATTGCATTTTCGGAATTTGCTAAGATTGTTAAATTGGATGGGATTATCAAGAATCAACAAAAACTTGTAGACCATTATGTGGAGATGCTAAAATCACTTATAATGAAGAATGCGATGATGGTAATTTAATTCCTTATGATGGATGCCATTAATGTAAATATTCTTGTCCTCTTAATTGTGAGAAATGTAAGTTTGGAAAATGCTCTATGTGTGAAAATTAACATATTTATATTGATGGTCAATGTTTACATATTTATCTATTAAACAACATTAATTTTGAAGAAAATATAGAACAATACAATTTCTAAATAAATGAAAAAAATTAACATAGATTATAATTTGAGAATCAACTCTAACAATTTATTCTTCGTAATAATTATGATTAATTTAATCATAATTTAAATCAAATAATTTTTTGGGTATTTGGTTATTAAAACCAATATTATTTTTAGGATTAAATAAATTATTGCAAAGTAAATTATTTTGGTAAATGTTTGGAATGTTAAGCTGAATATGAATTAGATTTTTATAAATCTAAATGCATTCCAAAATGTAATGATCAAATAATATTATCTGAAGAAATATGTGATGATGGTAATAGAATTCAATTTGATGGATGTTACAAATGCTAAAACAGTTGTTAAATAGAATGTTTATTGTGTTTTTAGAGTCAATGTTATCTTTGTCAAGATGGCTGGCATCTTCAAGAATATTAATGTAAATAAATTTGTGGAGATGGTTAATTAGCTATATTATCAAATGAATAATGTGATGATCCTGAAGATTCAAATTGTGCTAATTGTAAATACTAATGTGAAGATGATTGTTTGGTTTGTAATAAGTTTTAAAGTTGTGAAATATGTTAGTATCCATTTTAGAAAAAGAATGGTAAATGTATACCTATTTGTGGAGATAGTATTATTACTTCTATATTCGAATAATGTGATGATGACCATTTGATGGATGTTATCAATGTCAATATTAATGTTCTTTAGGATGTATTCAATGTGAAAAAGATAATCGATGTTTATTATGTGATAATAAAAATTACATTTTGGATAATCAAACTTTTTAATGTAAGGAGATAGAATAGTAAATTATTGATCCATTACCTGAAGAGGAAATAAATAATGATGATTTAATAATTAGATAATGTGATGGTAATTAAATACTTATCGAAAATGAATGTGTTACTTAATGTGGTAATGGAATACTTAATCAAAATTTTGAATAATGTGATGATGGTAACCAAAATGGTGGAGATGGTTGTTCTACTTTATGTTTTTAAGAAGATTCCTATTAATGTAATAATTAAGATAAGTAGCTAAGTGTTTGCACTTTTATATAAGCACCTATTTTTGAGTTAATTTTAATTTCACAAAAATAGGATCAAACCAAAATTCTTGAACTTAGTTTCTCTCAAGAAGTTTACATACCACCTGATTTTCTCTTTGAACAAATTGTAAAATTTACTATAATACCAGAAACTTAATATGAATTATCTTTAATACCTATATCAAACATTACTTCACAATTAAGCAATCCAAAGTATCAAGTTTTTATTAAATTTCTGAAATCTATTGTAAATCCTATTTTGTAAGTAAACATTTAAAAATATTCAATCTTTAATTAATATGAAATGGAATTAAATAATAATGATTAAGAAATTCCACTTGGAACACCTTTTGTGTTATCAGAAACTAATTAAAAAAAAGTAAGTTAATTTATTTAAATGAATGAATTAATGATCTATTCCACAGCTACTTTTTCTGGATTACTTTTCCTAACAGGCAATTATGTTGTCTTTTTCAATCTATTAGACTTATTATAGACATTATCTTATCTTAAGTATATGTAATATAAATTTCCTTCACATTTAAGTCTTTTTCTAGAAACTTATACAAAAATATCTTTGGAACCTATTTTAAATATTTTAAAAGTTGATGAATTTATTGCTGATCTTAATGGGGGTACTATTCCAAATTTAAATAAAAAATCATTTTAATCTAAATAAACTGACCCATTGAATTAGATTTATTTAATGAATGCAAAAGGATGTTATTTTTCATATTTTGCATCATTACTAACCTATTATCTCTGCTGTCTCATTGCTTCAAACAAATTATCAATGTGGTTAAAAAAATGTTTCAAAAAATTTCAATTCAATATTAAAATTCTTAAACTAATTTCAATGTTTTAAAGGAAAATTCAATTCTAGTGTTCAATTGTAAAGAAACACTATTTTTCTTTAGGAGTTTTTTAATTATTTTATTCATCCCTTCATTAGTTATTATTTAGCGCACTATTATAATTTCCTGATTATACATTTAACTCTCTTTTTGAAATTATTAATAGTGTTGCTGCATTTGTTAGTCTACTAATCCAGATTCAAATATTTTTAAAATTGCTTTCTATTACAACCACTCAAATTAAGGATAAAATTAAATGGAAGTATTTTTTTTAAGATTAGAAAACTCAATATTGGGCTGCTAATTTCAAATCATTTTAAATTTTTAGAATCATTTCTTACATTACTATTATTGTTAAATTAATTAAATTTCCAGAAGCATAATCAATTTTACTCTCTATGTAATCATTGTTTTATCTAATTTACCTGATAATTTTTAGACCTATCTAATCAAATTATGATTTAGCCAAATTAATTTGCAGAGAAATAATACTATTCATCATCACAGGATCATTTTTAGTCTATAGTTTTGAAATCAATTATGATTAATTTTTAATTTTTGGATGGATACATATATCGCTGTTTTGTTTCTTAATGGGTTTCACCATAGTTGCTGACTTAGTATAGCAAATCAATTTAGCTTATTTACATCGCTAAAAATTGTTATAAATCTAGAAGATAAAAAAAATAATGTGTTATTATAACAATCCATTATAAAAATTTGTTGTTTATGATTTGAAAAATAGTGATTGAATTATAATAATATATTTAAATAAAATTTTTGATATAATTTTTTTTTGGTAAAAAACATTAAATTCTATCTTTTGAATAATTTATTTATTGTTTTAATTTTTTTATATCATCTTTAATTAGTTTAATGATATAAAATTGAATTGTATCATAATGAAAAAATTGAATAAATATCTTATCCATATTTAAGAGATAAATTTTCAAAATAATTCATAAAATCAGAGAGCAGAATAAATTAATTAATAGCTGAATAAAGACTCGTTGTAGTTCTATCATAATTTGTTATTGTAAAATCAAATCAAATATTATTCTTAATAAATACAAAATTTGGAATTTTAAGGTATTTTAATAAAAAATAAGTGAATTAGAAGACAGTATTAAATCAAAAGACATAAAAATTCATAGAAAATATTTAGACAATTTTATGGATTTTTTTGGTATATTAATCCCATTTAATAGAGTTTTCAATTAAAATTAAAATAAATGCTATCTGATTGATATATTCATTAAATTATACTTCTATACTTACTAATTGATTTGGTAGTTCTTTACAAAATTCTTTAGGCAGTAGGACATTTTAGTACCTCCTACTTTGAATATTCTCTACTTCTTACTTACATACTTCATATTCTGCCGTTATAGCTACTTAGACTTATCAGAATTTAAAAATTCGTTATTCTTTCATAAAGTAAAAATTATATAAAATATATCTTGTAACTTACAGAGAGGATGTACGACCTATCTCTTGCTATCAAATTTTAATTAAATGAACTTTTTATGAAAGTTTTTCTGTTCTTTATAATAATTTAAATTAAAATTTCCTTTCCAAAAAAAATTCAGCTTAACTTCCTTCCTTTTCTATTTTACTAATATAATCAAATTATATCATTTCGCCTTTTGAATTTTGCAAGGTCTATTTAAAAATTTTATAATTTTATTTCATAATCAATAAATGAAGAATTAATGAAATCTTTTTAATCCAATGATATTTAATTCACAAACAATCTCAATATTTTTTGCCAATTGATTGCAGTTCAAATTCAAGTCTTTGTTTCTAATACAGATTTAGTAGAAATATTTCTTTTTGATCTATTTCATTTATATACCACTAAATAAAAAGAAAATTCTCTTTGTTTAAATAAGTTTAATTGATAAATTGTTATATTTATAAATTTATATTAATCACCATTTCAAAATTTCAAAAATTTTGGCAGTTTTCATCATTTATTGTTTTTCTCTTTGTTTTCTAGATATTCTTAATTTTTGATAAAATTTTAGACTGAGTTTGATTATAGGTGCAAATAAACTTAAGATTAATAAACAAATCTGAAAGAAACCTAATAAGATTTATTTTGATGGGGTAATAAACTTCTCAAAGTCATCACAAAATGACAAGTTAATTAATGTAAATAAGATTACAGGGATTTCAGTCCATGTTTTCAATATTAAATCAAAATCTAATTTGTAATTTGTAAGAAGAAAACCAACATAAATGAATAAGATAAATGACAATAAGATACATTGCACAATAGGTTAGACCTAAATAGCAATTAAAATAATAAGAAACATAGTCTTTTTAAATAAAATAAGTGTTTCAAGCTATGAATTTTTTAGTTAGTAAATATTTATCTTTTTAAATTATCCTCTAAATGTATTAATCATAATTTTGGCAGTTATAAGTAAAATTATAAAACAGATAACTATAGATAAATTTTGACGTAAACCTTATTATTGAGAGGAGTGCAAAAATAAAAATACTTTAAAGAGCAAATCCCAACTATTTGCTTAGATAAATTAGGTTATACCTTAGATTGTCAGAATCTTTTGGAATTCTTATACTAATTAAATTTTATAATAGATCCATATGTAAATTTTTTTTTAAAAATTTGATTTTAATTAGTCAATAGAATTTAAAAATTTTTATGTGAAACAATATTAATAAACTAATTTAACAAATTAATGTGCAAAAATAAAAGCAAATAAAGCTAGTATAATTTAAGCAAATTAACAATATAAATTTGTTAATAGGTCTGCATTAACTTAGTATTATTAAAATTTTCCAGAAGTTTAAACTTAAATTTGTGGAATAAATTATCCTAAGATATTTCCAAAGTTTGATTATATTAAGAGAGGTGTAATTTATACAAAGTCTGATGATTCAAAGTAAATAAAAAGATTTTATGGATAATTAACATTTATATATTTTAAAAACGATTAAAATTATAAAATGTCCAAGATTTCTTGAAATATTTCAAACTCCCTGCATAAGATCATTAAAATACTTAAGATCATTAGGCTCATCATAATTCCATAATTAAGAGTTTAAAAATTATTAGCAGTTTCTATTTAAACCTCGGATAAGATTTTAGGAACTTTAAGTGTGATAAATTATTCACTCGGATAGACAGGTAAGTCATTTTAATCCCATAACAATGCATTAAATATTAATTTTAACCTTGGGTTGAAATCGGTTGGTTAATAAATATCGATTGAAAGCTCATAACTAATATTCTTAAGTTAATTCTAATCAATTTCAATTAATGGAATGAGAATAATTTGATATTAATTTGGGTTTAAATTTTCAATAGAGAATGAATTTTGATCTAAGAAGATAAATGTTGATAAATCTAATTTAACTTAATTTGTATAAGTTAAAGTAACATATTAATAATTAAAAGTTTAATTTAGATAAGTAACAGATGGAGTTGTGATTCTAAAACATTAACTAAAAAAGTTAACATTTTCAGTGCAATTCCATTGATTTTCAATGATACATAAATTAGAACATCCATCTTAATTTAAGTTATTGCCATCATCACATTGTTCATCATCTTACCTAATTCCATTACCACACATTAAGCAAATGCCATTTTCTAAGATATAACCTGATTCACATATGATACATAGATTTAATGAACATTTTAGACATCCTTAATATAAACATGTATCTACTATTGATAATTCTTCAGAATCATTATTTGGTATAATACATTATCCATCAATATATTATTTATCTTCTGAACAAGGTAATAAACAAATACCATATTCGCAAAGATAACAAACTTATTAACATTGAAATTAACAATTATAACAACCATCATATGGAATATCATTTCCATCATCACAATCTTCCTATTCATAAATTACTATTCGATCACCACAAATTGGTTAACATTAATAATTAATAATTTCAAAATTAGTTTAGCATTTAATACAAAAAGATTTATTATAACATGAAAGACATCCTGATGAACATTCATATTGACAATCAAAACAACCATCATCTTAAATATTATTACCATCATCACAGTTCTCATTAGAAATAAGTGCTATCATTGAATCTCCACAAATCTATACACATTTATTATCAATTAGATGCCATCCATCAATACAAATAATACAAGTACCTTATTGACAAAATTAACATTCAATTTAACAAGTTAATTAACATTTATAACATCCATCAAATTAAATATTATTACCATCATCACATTGTTCATTCTCTATTTATTACCAATTATCATTACAAATACTTACACATTAATTTTAAATACTATTCCATTTATAACCCCCTTAACACTTTAAACATACACCAAATTAACAATTAAAACAATTTTAAGGACATGAAAATTTACATAAATAACAGCCATCAAATGGTTTTAAATTATCATCCTCACATTCTTCATCATATACAATCTTTTAGTCTCCACATATAGTATTGCATTCTTTTTAAATAATATTATATTCCCATCCCTCTTAACATTCTATACATTCTCCCTTAACACAATAACTGCACCCTTTTACAAATACTTAGTTTTAAGAAAAACATCCTTCATAAAGAGTCTCAATATAATCAATAAATAACTGAAAATTAGACAGTCCCCAACCACCCCAATCTGATTTCAATTTAACAACTGCTAAAGAATTAACATGTTAAACAGTAATTGAGATTTAAATAATGTCGTTATTATTGACACTACTAGAACACAATGAAGTTGGAGAATTTCTATATATTTATGAATGAACTATTTATTTATCAATTTCTATAATAAAATCTTTATTGTTAAAATTAAACCTATTATTATATTTGATAATACCTCCAAAATAAGAATTAGATTACAATTTAATTATGACTTCTAAGTTGAAATGATTTAACAATCACTGTATTATATATATATACAGAACATTCCGATATTTTTAAAATATTTTTAGTCCCACATGATGTTAACTAAACAGTATGTCCATCGTTTTGTTAGATCTCCCAATCTAAATATTATTGAATTAATACCGATCATCATATTTGTCAGGCTTCCAAAAAAATTTTGATAAACAAGGGTTTAAGTTTATGAACTTTAAATGAAAAACATCAGTACTATTACGATTAACATCCTATTTTCTAATTTAAAATCATATATTATGTACTCAAAGTTTATCTGATATGTTACTTCAAATTCGATGATCCTTATTCCATTAAATCTATTAATATTTCTAATTAAAATTGAATTAAAAAATGAATCAATTTATATAAGGTAAAATAGAATATCATGAATTTATAATTTGATCATTACTATTGGATTAAATTTGAACCTCAATAATATTTAGATAGTTTTATAAATTTAGAAACTTTTATTTATTTTTTACTTAAACTTAACTTCTTAACTTAAAAAAAAGAGAAATTTTTAAAAGAAAAAAAGAGTTCATATACTTGTTCCTATCAAAAGATTAACATAAAAAATATATAATTATCTGCAGTTATTACTAATGATTCATTTACTGGCCAAAATTATCTTATCTTTATTTATAATCAACTGAATATCCAATTTAAAATCACAGATAATTAATATAACAATTAGTTTCTGTTTAATGAAACTTATGGTTCTCATTATAATGGAAATCAATGATGGTCTTATTGTGCAAGTTTTATTATTAAACAGTTACTTACAATCAGCAATCAAATTAGCTATATGCCAACAATAAATGAGGAATAACTAATAAAATATTGACTATGTAATGCTTTCCTTTTGAAAAAAAGACATTCTCAAAGCACCAAAGCACCTGGTATAAATATGATTTTTTTACAATCTTTACTAATCAATACGCCAAAAATATAACATCATTTCTATGTACTTTACAAAGATTGCTAAGTTAAAATCTTATCAAAAATAATAGACTTATCATTCAGAGGATGTATTTATTAAAATCTACAAATTCAATTATGTTTTTTTTTCAAATTTTCATTAATATGATTGGTAATCCTTTTATAATTTTTCAATATTTACAAGTCAATTTTGATTCTTGCTTAAAGCCTCAAATTTCTTATACAACAATCCAAATTCAAAAGTAAAGGTTTCTTAGTTTTCACTTGTCAAAAAAATTAGTTAATGAAATATTTTTATTATGAGTGGAATTTTTACAATTGATGAATCTTGCTCTTTATAAAGCATAGTAGAATTTAAGATTAAAGATATACCTAACATTAGATAATAAAGATCCTACAAATATTAATCAGTAAGAAAATAAATACCAACATTATTCTTTTTTGAAATGATACGAATATACTAGATTAATCTAATATCAATTAACATTAGGATGAGTAACTAAGAACAGAATTTATTTTTAGATTGGAAAAACTTAAATCAATTTAAAACGTTAAAACAAGAAGAAAAATGTTATATAATGCATATAAAGCACATGAAAAAGAACATGAAGAATACGATAGTTGTTTCTATGGTTTATCAACAATATTTTTAGAAATATATCAATTCGCGCTCTTGATTAAAATGAACTTAAAAACATGGTGACCGATAGAGAAAATTTATTAATATGGGAAACAGAATGCAATAATAATGAAATTGTAATGCTAATCTTTATCAAATTTTTTGAAACTGTAATTTTAAATCATAAACTATAATTAGATATATATAACTTATTTTCTTTACAAATGAAAGTTTCTAAATGAGAGAATATGGTACTACAAATGTTCATTATAATATCGAAATTGCCCCTGAATGAATTAGATACTTATTTTTTGATAAATATGCTTTTTGTGATAAACCTTTTAAAAAAATAACAGTAAATATCATTCAAAAAATTTAAAAATTAAAATTTTTCTTATACTCTTTTGCAATTAGGATTTGCTTTTGGATTGATGATGATCTAAAGATAAGAGTCTTCTGCTTTTTTTATAGTAGGTTAAATTGGTTTCAAATAATTGACTCCATTAATTTTGTGCTTCTTTATTCTTTTAGTATATCTGCTTTGCCATTATTATGAACTTGTTATTTCTAATCGCATTCAACAAGTTTTAACATAATGATGTACTCTAGGAGACATCAAAAATAAATTAGAATAAGAAAATTTTTATCCTCAAACATCATCCTTAAGTTGAACTTTTGAATATAACAGTGCAGGAGAATGAAGTAATTACTGAATTTTTTTATTGTTAATAATTCCCATAAAAATACAAAAAATGAAAAAAAATGATTAATACATTTTGAACTTAAGGAAGAATGAGAATAATTATTAATTGACTGTGGGATTTATTATCTAACTTTCACTTATTCCAGAGTTCTTCCTTTTGTTTTCATCAGATATTTCAACTTGAAAAGCCACAGAAAAGAATGGAATTAAAAAGATTGAATAATAATGATGGTGATATTAAATCATATATCATAATAGGATAATTATTTAATTTATGATAAAAATTAAAAATCGATATGAATATCTTTTTTATCAAAGCGGAGATCTAAAAACTTAAAATACAATATTGATAATTTTTAACATTATAAAAATAAACTTATTAAAGTGAAACCTTTTTACAGTCAAACAAATAAATTGAGAGAAGAAGGAGAAAATCTTTAAATTAATCCAAAAATGCAATAAGAAATAGTAAAATAAACTCTAAAAGTATTTTAAAGGAATAAGATATTCTCTAACACTAAAATATATTTTTGGCAATTTTTACCATGCTCCTCATAATTTGATATAATTTTCTCAACATTTATTTCAAATTCTTTATTCATAAGTCAGACTCCTTTAGAGTGATATAATTAACAATTTGAACATCTTTCAAAAAAAGAGATTGAAGTTCCTGAAATTGTTAAGGTTATACAAAGGTCATCAATTATGTATTCAAAAAATTGGGAGAGTGCATTTAGAATTTCTGTAAATGCATCTTGAGATAATCTCATAATCCTAATTAAAAAAGTGGATTCCTTTTTGATTTAGTTGGCTTCTTTAATAGAATCAATAAATAATATTTGGAATTAAATACTAAAAGCAAACGAGTTATAATTTAATGAAGAATTAATTAAGAATCTTAGTGATTATATAAAAATGACCAAGTAAATATTGTTCTCCTGGTTTATTGATTAGATAAAATTAAACATAAAAATAAATTTAATACAAAATAATAGATTATTCTAGAAAAAATTAAGTAATGAAGTAACGATAGATTACTGTAATTTTAATAATATCAGTTTATAAAGTGCAAAATGGACTTAAACACCTTGGAATTATGTTATAGTGTTCAAAGAATAAAATTCAGAATAATTGTATTATTATATTGCATTCTCGGCAAATAGTAAACTTCTAATTTATTGGGGCAAATTTTCAGTTAATCTATGGAGTTTATATATTCTAAAATTACCGATAAGAATAATTTTTATTTAAAGTTAAGATCTTGTGTTTTTTCATCAGATTCAACTAAATTGTTATTAGTCTTTTATTTGTTTACCAGATATAAATTAGAAATATTTAATTATTCACCTGAATTCTCATTTCTAAACAAATTTAGTATTGGAATGTACTATTAGGAACTAAAGATGAATAAATACTTTTGTGGAATGATGGATTTTTGAAAAAAAACTCTAAAATGATTGTTAAAATGCTATTTTATCACAAACATCAACATTATTTTTTATTAATATCTTTGTTAAGTTGGCAAAATATTAAAAATTAACATGCTAAAAGAAACTTGTAATTCAAATTCACTATAAACAACATGAATATTTAATTAATTTTAATAATTTTACTATTAAAAGTATCGAATTCCTGCAATCAGATAAAATTTTCTGGGAATAAGATATTGGATAATTCCCCATCACTATTCGATTAAATTATCTGTTTAGAGAATTGTAGCATAATATTCAGCCGAATATAAAGTAATCATCACAGAGGTTCCTATATACATTAATATCCAAAAAAGAATATTTAACCATTCCTTGAATAGTGAATAAATATACCTTTTTGAAGACTTCCTTAGCAAATAAAAAGGAAAATATAGGATAGAAGAAACCTAAATTAAAATTTTGATTCATTTTATGAATGATAGCAGAAAATCCAAAAATAATCAATTATCTAAATAATTTATAAAATATATATGATTATTCAAATACCTTTTAATAATATTGCCATGTTTAAACAGCCAAGAAATCTTGTAATCCACTTATAATTAAAAATGATTGATTTAAGTATTCAAATACAAAAATTAGAAATAAAAATTGGTCTTTTATTTTAGACACATTTTGAAATAATAAAATAGAAATTATGACTAAAATATAAAAATACTAATAAAAATTCGGTGATAATTATTTCAAAAACATGTTAGCAAAATTAAATTTATGAGATATATTAAGTTTTCCTAATTTGCAACATTTAAAGTTGATTTGTTATCAGTTTTATCTGTATTACAAGTGCAATTTTTTGCATCATCATTATTTTTCATGTCAATTGGATTAATTTCATTGTTTACTGTATTACAAGTGCAATTTGTGCTTTTACTATTATTATTATTTGAATCAGTTGAATTTGTTTCAGAGTTTGTTGTATTAGTAGAATTTGTAATTTCAATATTATTATTATTTGAATCAGTTGAATTTGTTTCAGAGTTTGTCATATTAGTAGAATTTATGATTTCAATATTATTATTATTTATATCAGTTGAATTTGTTTCAGAGTTTGTTGAATTAGTAGAATTTGTGTTTGTACTATTATTGATGTTTAAATCAATTGAATTTGATTCAGTGCTTGTTGAATTAGTAGAATTTGTGATTGTATTATTATTTATATCAGTGAAACTTGTTTCAGAGTTTGTTGTATTAGTTGGGTTTGTGATTGTACTATTATTATTGCTGAGATCAGTTGAACTTGTTTCAGAGTTTGTTGTATTAGTGGAATTAGTTTCTGCACTATTAATATCGTCAATATTAGTGGAATTAGATTAATTGCTGCTAGTATTAGTAGAATTATTAGATGTTGTATTCAAATTTGCCTAATCTACTGTAAGAAGCTCAATCAATTTATAATTATCGCAAAAAGCCCCTCTCAAAATATAACCTTGCTTACATGATGTACATTAATTATAATTTGAACATGTCAAACAATTCTAAGTTTATTAAAAATAATTGTACAGCTGGACATCCAACACAATACTTGATATTTTCATAAATATAAGTAGAATCTGGACATTTCTCTAAGCAACTACCTTTGTATCTATATTTTGTACATTCTACGCTACAATCTTCTGATGAGTATCCTAGCATACAAATACACTATAATATATATTAATAATGGATTACTTCTCTATTCTAACAAAATCCTTTTTAACTACAAAGATTAGGACATTCATCTCTATTTTAACAAAATAATTTAGGATTTGAAGGACAAGTTATATTTCCATAATAAGATTCAGGAAGTTTAATACTTTCATCATTTGAACAATCGAATTCTTATCCTTCGATAACTAGAGATAATTTATTCTCTAGATCACATTTATATTATATGCAAGAGTTACTTTAGTAAGTTGATTCTTTTGAAACAGATCCAGAAACACATATACTATCAAATCCAAAGTGTTAAATTATTCCTGATGATTTATAAAGTTCAACATTATCAGGATTCCTACAATCTTAGTTAGAATAAAAATATTAATAATAGCAAGATCCTGATAATTAATCTTTCAGACATTTGGAAAGACCTGTTTAATAAAAGGAACAACTCTATGATTAATCTACATCACAGAATTCAGTAAAGTTTCCTCCTTTACATTATTTATTTGCAAATTCACATCCTTTATTTTTCCCCCATAATGGTTAATCAGGTGAATAATCGGCTATTCGATAGAATCTTTTATAATAATAATTATTTTTACCCTGTGTCTTACAAAAATTCAAATGTAAAATCTGTAATTAAAAAGTTTTCTGTCATATCTGAGCCTGTCATTATTTCATTATAAAAGAGAGACCTTTCAAGATGAGATCCTTTAGTTCCTGATCCCCCATCATTTTCCATTTGTAATCCTAATAATGAAGTGCAATTAAAATGATATTGCACAAAATTAGTTACTCTTGGAGTCGATAAATAAGTCACATCGGATTGAATATAACTATTTGAAGTATTATAACTTTCTCCTGTGAATGAATCATAAAAACTGATGAAATAATCATCTATAAATCCTAATCCATGGATGACTTCATGAACTGCTATTTCAACATTGCTTTCAAATACTGAATTAGTCATTTTATCCAATGATGTATAATACATATTCCAAGAAATCAAACCAAAAATTGGTCGTAATGTTTCTTCATCAAAAATTGCAGGACCACAATAAGCTAAATAAGGATCAAAAAATGATCTCTCAATATTAATAAAAAAGACCTTTAATAAATTATAAATTATACCAAATCTGCATCATATTCTTTTTTTTATAATTCCTCACTTATACGAAATCCAAAAATTGAATTTGGATAACTATCTTTATAAGTAATTTTAGAATTCGTTCTTTGTATTAATAAATGTTTTTAAAAGAAAGTGCTAGTTATATTTAAAACAGTTTATAAAAATGCCACTGATTTAGAATCAAAATTGCTATTTAAAAATTCATAATGAATCCTTAATGGTTCCCACGATAGAGAAGTTATATTTGGTTTACTCTCTTCTAATTTTCGTTTTGAGCCTTTGTTTAACTTGTAATTTAATTAGGATTCACATTTTAGGCAATAAAACATTAGCAAGGTAAGCAAATACGATAATAATTATTTCATTAATGTATTTATTTAGATGAAACTCTAATCCTTCTATCGAATTTAAATTAAAATTCAGATAGAATTATTTTTGGTGATTCATTAATTTATATTATTATTCAAAATAATGAATCACAAAATATATAAAATGCAATTTATCTATTTTCTTTCAAAAGTTATTTACAAAATAATCTTAGCCATATTTCCCATAAAATGATATTTTAATAACTTAATGGTCATTGTTTAATAAAAAAAAACAGAACTTCAGATTAGAAACTTTAATATTCTTTTTTACTTAAGGGATTGACTTATTTCACCTAAATCCTTTAATTTAATTAATAGTTATTATAAATATTTATAGTATTCTTTTTTATTATTTGTAAGATAATTTTTATTATCTAGTTTAGCAAAATTGAAGAAAATAGGAATCTTTATAAATCACACTTTTCAATAATCTTTTGCATCATTGAATTTTACGTTTTTTAGCAAGATAACTTTACTAACATCTTGAAACAATAATGTTTTGAAACATCCTTTATTCAAATATAATTCTTTTATCTATATTATTCAGAATAATTATTTTAATTAATTCCTTAGATTCTATTTTATATATTCTCAATTAATTAGAGCTTATTGAATTATTGAGTTGAGAGCTTATTAAAGAATTTAGTTTGAGGTAAAATTAATATTGATTATTTGCTAATTATTAAATAAAATTTATCTAAAAATGAGATATTTATATAAATAATA